ATTGTGTTAATGAATAGAATGATTTGTTCTAATGGTGTTTGTAAATAGGATCACAGTCCTCATCTTGTACAGCAATTAACCACTAAGAAGAATATATGCAGTGTATTATTTGTTAAAAAAAAAGAAAAAAAAAGAAAAAATAAAATAAAATCATTCATTAATTACATAAAAAAAAGATGATTGTGTTGTCTGTGTCTTCTGTGAGGGATGTGCATGTTTGTGTGTACATGGGTGAGCATGTGTACATGTACGTGGAGGGAGGGAGCGGAGCCTTGTTGCTCCAATTGCATCTGGCGGTTTTCTTTTTCTTTTCTTTCTTTTTTTTTTTTTTTTTTTGCGGTACACAGGGATTGAACTCAGGACCTTATGCTTGCCAGGCAAGTGCTTATTCTACTGAGTTACCTCCCCGGCCCAACGTCTGGCTATTTTCTTGTGTCTCCCTGCAAGCCTGTTTCCCTGAGGGGGAGTTCAGATGTTGTTTTTCATTTTTCTCTTCACTCACAGAGAACTTCGCCTCAGGCCTGGAGCTGGGTGGGCAGGTGGGCGTTTGCCCCCACCACACGCACTCCATGGCCATTCTGGGCGTGGCACAGAAGTGTCCTGTAATTTGAGGAGTGAAGTGGGACAAGCAGCCCTTGCCTGAGGTCCTTATCTTTGGGAGAGTGGTCATATCCTGGTCACTTCTCCAGGGGGGAATGTGGCTATGGCAGTCCCCCGGAGGCTTTGAAGAGTTCCTTCACACGTGCTGGCCTGGAAGTGTGGGACAGTGGGGCTTGAGTGGGCCATCGGACGGCTTGGCCTGACCCTGTGGGATAATGACTGCTTGTCTGTTCACAGCGTTGGAGGGAGACGAGGCCCTTGAGAGAGACGTGTGTGCCTGTGAGGCTAACAAGTCAGGAAGCAGCTTTACTGTGATGCCGGGTACCTTGAGATGCCTGTGAAAAGTGGCAGGTTTCGGCCCTGCTCTCAGGCTGCCTAATGGGAAGTTCCCATGCTCATAAATGGCGTCCATAATTTTCTCCTGCCTTTTATGTGGTCAGATTTCCTGTCTTCTGCCTGATAAAAGGTCTCTCAGAGAGAGACCCTGTTCTTCAGTCCCCTCCACCTTCCCAGGTCTGTCTGGCGCAGCAGAGGCATGGCAAGCCGCTCCTACCGCATCAGCTCCAGCTGTGGGGTCAGGAACTTCAGTTCCTGCTCTGCTGTTGTACCCAAGCCTGGGGCTCACAGAAGTGTCGGAGCCACGGCCTACTGCAGAGGCAGTGCTGGGGGTCCAGGCTATAGGTGCCTGGGGAGCTTTGGCAGCCGGAGCATGTGTGTGGTGGGGTCACCTAGGATGGCTGTGAGCTGCAGATGGCCCGTACGCAGTGGCGGCAGCTTTGGCTACCGGGCAGGTGGTCTGTGTGGTCCCAGCATCTCCACTGTGACAGTCAATGAGAGCCTCCTCACGCCCCTCAACCTGGAGATCGACCCCAATGCACAGTGCGTGAAGCAGCAAGAGAAGGAGCAGATCAAGCGCCTCAACAACAAGTTCGCTGCCTTCATCGACAAGGTGGGTGTCCTGGATCGCACTATTCCTGAACAAGGTGGGTCTGTGTGCTGTTTTCTGAGGATGTGGCTTAGGAAGGTGCAAGGGACGTGGAGCCTGATGATGAGTAGGGCATTGTGGGTGTGGCACAGCTGTCTGAGAGATGCTGCCATCTCTGGCAAGGAGATCGGAGCCAGGACCAAGAGGCCCCAGAGGCTCCTTTCCTTCTCCTTTTTGATGGGGGCACTGTAGCAAGGCTGTGAATCCTCAGGACTTTCACCCAAGGCACCTTCCTCTCCTGAACATGCAGATTAAAGGCAGTGATTGAGAAACACACAGAGGCTGGCCCCCAAAGGCCATGCTGAATTGCGGTTTGCTCACATTGCTGTTTTTGGATCGCTGTCTTCAGAGGAGATCAGACCCTGAAGCTTAAGGGAGGAAAGACTTATCTTCCAGGCCAGTCAGTGTGATGTCCAGGACCAGGGACTGTGTAGGAAGAGATGGGCCAGGGTGATGGCGAGGGGAGCTCTGCTCTCAACAAACAGCATCCTCAGCAAGGGTGCTGTGCTTCCGTCTCAGTGAGCTATGGCTGCGCTGCCCTTGTACTGGCACAGTGAAGCTAACTAAGGGGCTGGGCAGGTTTTCCCCTGTGTAGGGCACACACCCAGAGCCAAGGAGGTCAAAATCCAGCCCATGAGTAGCTTGTGGGCTATGCGCCTTGGCAGGGGGTGCATCTTTGCAGTGAGGGCCCTGAACATGCAAATGCAAAGGGATCCATGCATGAGGCCTTTTGGGTCTCACCCAAGGATACTGTTCTCCCTCCTGTTGAGTGGAGTCAACTCTTGGTCCGGGCAAAAAGTCACATCACTGTATGAGGCTGGATTTACCTTCTCCATGCTGCAGACTCTATGGATATGGTGGGTTAATTCTGCAGAGCAGTACCCTTAGGCAGATAGGTGCCTTTTGGATAATCAGTTAAGAGTTCTCAAGCAGGAGGCTTCGTTTCCAGGATGTTAGGCTTGCAAGAAAATCACCTAGCTTGCCGCTGGCACTGGCAACTTAGATTAGGATGTGGCAGGGCCCATGAGTGAAGCCAAAGGGTGGAGGCCAGCCCACCTGTTAGTCAGCACAGGCTTTTTACTATTAGAACTTCTGATTTGTCAAAAAGGTCAGAGACCCAGAATTTTGCCTTTAATCACTTAATCACTAAATATTGGAAACAAGTCAGGTTTCTATACAACTGTGTGTAGGCCCAACAGGCCTTTGCTGTGGGCCTGAGCAGCTACCAGTCAGATTTCTATGGCCTCCATATACAGAGAGGCTCAGAGAGAATGAGGTAAATTGGCCTGTGTGATGGCAGTTAGGATCTGGGGTTCCCCAATTCTTGGTAGGGTGGGCCCCTTCCCGGGATCCAGTTCCCCAGGATCAGAGTAAGTGAAAGTCCTGGTAGGTGTGTAGTTTTTAATTGCTGCATACAAATTAGAAGCTTAAAAGAATGCACACTTACCTTCTTGCAAAGCTGACAGCTGAGTGAGGACAGGGCTGCATTTCATTTTGGAGGTCCCAGGGAGAATGTTTTCATAGGCATTCAAGTTTTTGGCAGAACTGAGTTCTTTGTGGTTGTAGGGCTTGGGTCTCTGCTCCTTGGTAGCTGGCTACCAGGGGTTGTTCTCAGCTTCTAAAGACTTCCCACAGTCCTTGGCAAGTGGCTCCCTTTTCCTTCATCTTCGGAGCCACTAAGAGTGGGTAGACTCTTGCTCATGTGTCAAATTTTATTCTGCCTGCATATGAGCGTCTCGCTTGGTGCCTTCTTCTTCCCCCTGGAAGGGGCTATAGGGTGCCTTTTGCTCACCTGGATGATCCAGGAAAATCTCCCATGTTCAAGCCCATAACCTTTACTTCAGCAGTAAGATCTCGTTGGAGGTCCCTATGCAGCATATAGAGTCACAGGCACCCAGGGAATAGGACATGTGTGTCTTTGAGGAGCCATTGTTTCACCTATCACATGTAGTGTTCAGGATGTGGTGGTATTTCATTCTGTGCAGAGCAGATGGCTGACATCAATTGTGTGTTCTTTCTAGGGGGTGAGGATGTATGGCGGGAGGTTATTTGGGGGATGATTATCATCTGCACTTTCAGACTTTGCCACTGTGACCTTTGGGAAGGTCACAGGTATTCAGGGCAGGGGCCATCCCAAGGGCAGATTAGGCTCTGAGAGACCCAGTGCCTTCCCTAGGCTCCTCATTGAGTCTCTTCCCTTCATCTTGGCCAATAGGTACGCTTCCTGGAGCAGCAGAACAAGCTGCTGGAGACCAAGTGGCAGTTCTACCAGAACCGCAAGGGCCGCCAGAGCGACGTGGAGCCGCTGTTTGAGGGCTATATCGAGACAATAAGGCGGGAGATCCAATATGTGGAGGGTGATGCCGGGAATCTGGCCTCAGAGCTCCGCCACGTGCGGGACCCACTGGAGAGCTACCGGAAGAAGTGAGCAGGATAGGGTGGAGGGCAATTATTGGGAGGGGAGCTGGTTTTTGATGAGGCCACACAGCTGTCCTGGAGGCAGGGTTGCAGAAGATCAGGGTCACCTTTACATCTACCAGCCAGTTTACATTATTGGCCTTCTCTGCTTGTCTCAGCTCCCGGCTCTCACAGTTACTTCCTGGAGACCAGGATAAGAGTTGAGGAAAAGTAGAGTTCCAGCCTGGGAGGGATGAAATACACTTTCTAGGGCACAGACTGACACAGAGTGGGTGAGAGAACAAATAAAACAGAAGGAGGAGGCCAGGAGGTCTGAAGCGCAGGCCCAGGAGCAGCCAGCCAGTCCTGGGCCTCCAGATAGAGGCCTTA